AAGTTAATTAAAAATTTAATCATCTGTTTAAGAAAACATGAGAAAGGCTGGGAGAAAAGGAGTAGATTAATGTAATATAATAGCTGCGCAGCAGACACACTTATTAAAAAGCAATTTATACACTTCCTTCTTTAAGATCAGCATGCAAACACCATTTCCAGTACTGTACTTGCTGAATTACACAAAGCATTATGAGACAGTTATATATGCAGCAGAGGCAATCTATACACAAAAATGGGTTTTATCTAAAAGCTTTTTCACACATCTTCCGACCCAATTTCTACATGCGTAGTTGATCACTTTAATGGAAGCATTATCTTCTTGCTCTCTTTACTGCCAAAATATAACTGAAATACATTTACAAAATGCATAGCAGATCTTTGGAGCTATAAAACTGACATCTCTACATTGCCCTATGAGGAATTTTTAAAAATAAAAGATGCTATTATTACAGATAGGTCATTATGTAATGTCAAAATAACACCGCAAGATGACAAGTCCTTCAATCTGCTTGTTAAATTAGTTACGGCAGTAATTTTTGAATCACAACCCCAGACTATAAACTTAAGAGTTTTTTTTCTTTCTTGCACACTGTTGGCTCTGTTATAATTCTGTAAATTAGCCATTTAAAAACTAACTAATGCAAATTACACATAGAATAAAACAAACAATCCAAGGAAATGTAGGTATTCCATTTTAAAGAAATCAAAACTGTGCCTTAAAGCCTGGCTTAAAGCTGGTTTGTTTTTCAGGATATTTACTTGCTAGATATCTTTAATTATCACTTTATGTAGAAAACAAGAGTTTCAAAAACCATAAAATCACTTAAGAAGATGATAACCTGTATCACAAAGACCTCTTTCCCCAAAATCATGTAAATGCAGAACAGAAAAATATAAAAGGAATATTAAAATAAAAAGGAATAGGGGCATTTAGTATGTCAAGGGTTACTAATCCTTAGAAACTAGAGATAATTCTTCGCAAAAGTGCTTGTTCTTTTGAGAAGATGACAAACTGATTTGGCCATTTTTAAAACTCAGAAGCAGGAATATAAAATTCTATTCAATAAATATCAGTAATTTAACAAACACTTTAATGCAAAAAAAAGAAAGGAAGGTTTAATACCATGTACCAGGCTAGGAAAGAAAACAGAAACTTGTTCAGTAGGAAAGACATCTGAAAAGTCAATGGGCAGATCAACAGGTGAATGGATAAACAAACTGTTATATACCCATACAATGCAATACTACTTGCCAATAAAAAAAAAATGAACTAATAGTACACACAAAAATAGGAATGAATTTCAGAAACACGCTGAAAGAAAGAAGTCAGATACAAAAGAGTACATAGTGTATGACACCACACATATGAAACTCTAGAAAATATAACCTAGTTATAAAAAGCAAATCAGTGGTAACCTGGACCATGAGTGGGAGCTGATTAGCAAGGGACATCAAGAAACCTTTGGAGTGACAGAAAGGCTCCATATCTTGATTGTAGTGCTGGTGGTTACACAGCAGTATGTATTTATCAAAACTCATTGAACTGTACCTTAAAATGTCTGCCTTTTACTATATATTAAGTTATATCTCAATAAAGTTAATTTTTAAAAAGTCAATAAGCAGGGTAAAATACATTATACAAGCAAGGAATAAAGAAATAGAGGTCAACATATTGACCAACGGAAGCAAGAGACACTACAGAACATAGAAGCAGAAGATAAGGGAAGAAAAAAAAAGGCAGGGGGAAGGAGAAAAGAAAACAGAGAGGCGAGAAAAACAAGGCACCCTTGAGTCTTCTTTCTAAATCTCTCAAAATCATCCATTTCTCACCACCTCCAGTAACTACCCTAGTAAGAAATAACCGCTACCCATCTCCTGGACTAGTCCTCTTAACTAGTCTCATTGCCTCAAGTCTTGCTCTTCCCCAAATCAGTTCTCCATATTATGTCATTCTCAACTGCAAATCTGATCACCACATATCCCTGCTTAAGCCTTCAATAGTTCATACACGTTAATAAAAACAGAGTCCAAACTCCTTAACTATGCCACAGTAACATCTACCTTACCTCCCTACCCTTCCCTGCCTTGGCTACAATCTGCTGTCTAGACACACACAACTCCTTCTGGTTTCAGTTCTCAAGTTTGCTTCTCCTGACTTTAAGGGCCTTTGCTCTTGCTGTTCCTTCTGTAAAATACCCACAATTTTACTAGTACCTACGTACCCTTTAAGTTGTCACTTCTCTAGGAAGTTTTCAAAGTATGCCTTGATCCCTCCAGACTGGATTAAGTAGCACCTTTAGGTCCCAAAGGACCTTCTACAATATTTCCTTATTATAGAAGTTAACATATGCTGTCTTGTAAAGATCTAATTACTCATCAGTATTCTTTGTTCAAATGAAGTTTTCTGAGGTAGACATTGCTTCTATTTTGTTCATCATCTTTACCACCTGATATTCAACAAGTCTTAGTGTATATTTTTTAATGTTATAGCAAAAGGAAAGAGGAAGAAGAGAGCATCTCAGAGGAAGAACCACAAGGAGGCTTGATCTCAGTAGTTATCATTATCCTTTACAGCTCATTAGCAATATAGCTCATTGCTAACACACTTTTCTGAAATCCCATATAGTTATCTACGTTTCTTTTCAAATTTGGAATTTACTTTGTAACTAGATGTTAATTTCCATTACACTGGATTCTAGTACTTTTATACATATAGAGCACAAGACTATCACCTTAGAAGTTTTTGCTGAGAATTGGTGGTATCGGTAAATTCAGCAGTCATGTTTAAATGTCCCCCTATTCCCTACCCATCTCCTGACCATGCCCACCCAAGACAGAATACACAGTGGGAATCCAGTGAAGACAGCCTTCAGGAATAAGTGAGCTAACAGTCCTTCCTTCAATTATTCTTAAGTTCTGAAGTTCTCCTCTAAGCTACCATCAAAGTAAACCGTATGTGAAGAAAATGCCAGAACAATATAAATGTATAAACTTACCTCCTGCAAAAGAAAAACTAATCAGGCAAAACCAGTTTCCAACTCCCATCTACAAGGACAAGATAAGCAAATACACTTCGAAAAGGTAGTATGAAATATTATTAAAATATCAGATATGATCATTTGAAGGCCATAAGGCAAAATGTTCAACTATCTTTTCAAAGTTTACATTGTTTTCTTAATGAATTTTTTTGAAATTTTTGTTACTACCACCTTTTAAACAGAATAATGCTATAACAAGATCTGGTGGTCCAAAACACTGAAAAAGATATGACCACTGAAAAATACCTTATAGATTTTAGTAATGGGCTGCTTCAAACTTATTCTGGGAATTCTTGGATATATTTGGAAGTGGAGATTTTATCACAGCAGTTCTCAAATAGCTGTCTCATGAGCTTTCCATATATCATGAAGCTCAAGTTTTCCAGAAGTCTAGAAATAATTTTAAATATGTGATTTCCAATGTCATTTACATTTCATGGCATGTCTTAGATACAAAAGTCAGTGAGAAATTCTAGAAAACGTAGAATTCTGGAAAACTTTCAAAAAGTTAAGTCCCTTAATTGCCACATCATGTCACCTTACAGCCCATAATTAAAGGTATGACTAAAATGTGGAAGGAGTAATCAAACAGAACTTAAGCAAAAATTTTGCCAATGACCTACATAAAGTCTTATAGTTAAGTACAACTATTCATTTTTCTTAATTATCTACCTGCTAATAGTCATTTGCAGCCACCACCTGCCTCCTTCTTCACCAATGTAATTATCACAATAGCT